TTCCTTAATTCTATTTTTAACCCATGTTCTTTTTACTTATTGTAAGTGAATGAGTTAGTTTCCACCATGTGTGTAAGGGGTGCCTATGTAAGGCTGGAACTCCATTGATATGGTAATCAGAATACATTTTGAGATATTTTCTCTCCTCACTTCTTTCTCTCTCTTCAACACTCTCTTCTCTCTTGTTCATTACAGAGCCTCGGAACTCTCTTCTTCCTTGAAGAGTTCCCACGCCTGTATCATTGGTATCAGAGCAGCTCGTCTGGGCAGGGACTGTAGATCGAGAAGCAAAGCAGCGGCGATAGCTTGAGAAGGAAGACAATCGCAGAAGATGGCGTCCTTGGCAGAAACCCTAAAAAATTTGATTGATCAGCAAAAATCAATTAATCTCCAGATGTCCGAACGAAACAAAAGGATTGATGATCAACAACAATTGTTCTGTCAGATGTTGAAGCAAATGGGGACGATCGTCAATGGAGCATTATCAGAGAAGGATCAGGATTGTGTGCGGCAATGGGATAAGGGTAATCTGAAACAACTCGATTTCAACTTCAATTCAGTTGTAGAAATTCCCCAATTTGATGAAACTGATGTTCGAATATGGATTACGAAGTGTGTTAAATACTTTGAGTTGAACCAAACTTTGGACGTGGAAAAAGTGGATTTAGCTTCGAGGTATATGATTGGGAAGGCTAGAGTTTGGTTTAATAGCTATGTTGTAGGCAGACCTAACATCTGTTGGGAAGATTTGGTGATAGATTTGAGTACTAAATTCAGGGATGACCTAAGTGAAAGCACATTTGAGGAGTTTAGCAGATTGAATCGAATAAGGAGTCTGGAGGATAATGGTGACAGATCTGAAGAACTAAAGGCTTGTAAGAGGTTGAAGAATCCACTGCTACCAGGGAATCACACTTCGTACAACTTCATAGGACTTAAACCACATATAAAGGCAATTGTAATGACCTCCAAGCCTAAGTTCTTATCAGAAACCACTAAATGTGAGGGGATTCTTTGGAATCAAGAGGAAACTGAGCAGTTTAATTAAGGAAAAAGAAGGATTCCTAAGCTAGTGTTTAATACTAATCAAGCCTTGCCACCTACCCTTACTGTAGATGCTATCAAGACCATACTTGCAGTAAGTCAGCCCAAGTGTATGCCAAATACAAAGGGATTAAACTATTATTTTGAGAAACCCTTTGAGAGGGAACACATGAGCGTTGAGAGGGCGAATCAACTATTTGTAGTGGAGGAAGCTAGAGATACTGACTTAGAGGAAAAGCTAATACACTCTGATTTAGGTTATCAATTGGAGAGGGACAACCCTTCTATTTTAGTAAATGCTTCCACTGAATCAAAGGAAGAATTGTTGCACCCCAGTTCAGACTGCCAACTGGAGGTTACTTCCTCATGGAGGGTTAATGAAGGTAGTCCACAAATGGATGCTTCACCTTACAAGTACCGAATCAAGAAAAGGGAAAAGATTGAACAGTCGACTATGATGTTATATGGTGGTGTAGTGCAAATTAGCTGCAGCCTTGATGACTCTCTAGTGGTATTAGTGGGGAAGCTACCAAAGGCAAAGGGCGAGGATACTATAGTTGAGATTGTAGATAGGATGAATGGGTACACTCATTATATGGCACTAACTCACCCCTATACTGCGGTAGAGGCGGCCCAATATTACCTCGCAATTCACGGGGTTGATTTGCAAAGGACTCTCTCCTATCATTCACAACTAAATGGATTAAATGGAATGCTTAGCGAGGTAGAAACTGTAAGGGAGTGGCCCGTCCCCACCAAAGAGAAAGAGTTAGTAGCAGTGGTACATGATGATATGCTGCAAACAACAAAAGTTGCAGGATGTTATGGGCAGCTACCAGTACACATCCTAAATGCTGGGCCAGTAAAATGGGAATGTAGTAAGATGAGAATGGAGTTTATAGACAGAGGCAGTAGTCAAGTTCTAAGGAAAATGATACACCAGGTTACAGTACCACAAGTGTCACTTCCTATAGTTCAAGGGCTGTTGGAGGTACTTACTGACTCTAGCAAGATAGGAGCTGTAAAGGGATGTCAAAACCCCACCAATGAGAAG